ACAGGTTCTACTGCATATCAAGTCTTCTTCTTTTATTCAATTGGGGTTAGGACAATCGGATTAGAGTAGCCTGTCGTGTTGCCGGATCCTCGATCCTCGCTCTCGATTACTGACTGAGGTAAACTCGTAATAATTCACGCATATAAAATGACCTGTTTATGTGCATGCATAACAGTTGGTACCGTTTCTGTTAGGGGTATAAGGGCAGATCCTGCTTTCCTGTTGCCCACACCATGGAAGGGTATTTCTTGCGGAATCTGAGAAGGAAGTTAAGTTAGTGTTTGTCTTAGTGACGTGAGAACGTGACCAAAATACCTAAGGGATAACTGCTTGATGCCAGTTGTAAATAGCCTTTTTATGGTAATTCTTTAGCGTTTTAGCTCCGCTTCTCGAAGAGCTGTATCCCTGGAGACGAAGATCCAAAGGGTAAGGTGAGGTGTGACATTTTTAGAGTCGACCTTTTCCAACCCATTCTTGCGATTGCAAGAAGGTAGCATCTCTGCAGATGCTTGTTGTCCGAGAGAACTCAAGATGAACTCAAGACTGTAAACGATGACGTACAGCGAATGTATCTATACCATCATGACTGACATAATAATAATAATAATAGGGATTATAATAATGATAAGTGTCATTATTATTGTCATCAATAATGGATAAATGCTGTCAGCTTGTTATTAAAACTTCCCAAATCAATGTTTGTTTATCTAAAGTGAATTGTTATACTCCATCTTTTATATTATATTATATAACTGTTAAGTGTTCAACTTGATTTCAATGTCTCATTTGACAATTATCTAGTTTTATATATATATATATATGATACCTTTCTTTATTACATAATAAATCTCAACTATTTTCTATTGTTTTTCTCATAGGTACTTATTCGTTTAATCTCTTGTACATCATCCAACAATGATAAATGTTTATGTTTAGCATTGTATGAAGATCAATTGGATATTTGGTCAATTGATCAAAATTTAAACTCTCAGGTATATGGGGTGGGGAGTGAATTCTCTACTTTTGTGTGTGTGTGTGTGTGTTTGTGTGCATTGACAGTGACATCTCATCTATTATCGAAGGAATCAAACTATGTACAAGTTAACTGAAACATTAACTTGTATCTGTCAAAACTATTGTCTATAAATTCATGTCATCGTTTGGGTACGAGAAGCTAAATACTTACTTACTTACACCTGTTACCCCCAATGGAGCATAGGCCATCCACTAGTTTTTGCCAACTAACTCTTTCCTGGGCTTCCCTCTCTAGTTCTGTCCAATTTTTGTTCATTCCTCTCATATCTTTCTCGATTTCACGGCGTAATGCGTTCCTTGGCCTCCCTTTTTCCTTGAGGGTTCCATGTGAGGGCTTGTCTTGTGATGCAGTTGGGTGCTTTTCGTAGTGTGTGTCCTATCCACTTCCACCACTTCTTCCTCATTTCCTCCTACAGTCGAATCTAGTTTGTTCTCCCCCACAGTAAGTTGCTGCTGACGGTATCTGGCCAACGAATCCGAAGTATTTTGCGAAGACAACTATTAATAAACACTTGTATCTTCTGGATGATGGCTTTGGTAATTCTTCAAGTTTCCGCTCCATACAGTAGAACTGTCTTCACATTTGTATTGAAAATCCTGATTTTGGTTTTGGTTGAAAGTTGTTTGGAGTTCCAGATATTTTTCAATTGTAGAAACGCAGCCCTTGCTTTGCCAATCCGTGCCCTCACATCTGCATCGGATCCACCTTTCTTGTCGTTGATGCTGAGAATGAATAGTAGTAGATTAATAGATTGCCGTAGTGTATTGAGCACCGAAAATCCCTGTCAATTGAATCTATTTAACTGAATGATCTTTGCTTTTAAACACAACTAATGGAGCCATTAATCGCTGACCTATTATTGTTATTATTATTATTATTATTATTATTATTATTATTATTACGTAGTGAACGAAAGCATCTGCATACAGGCATATCACATAACTGGATGACCTTCAAATGTGATCCCATTTAATCAACTAGGAGACAGAATCTCAATATTATATAGTTTTTATTACGCTAATTATTATTATAGAACTGATAATCAGTCAGTCGGCCATACCACATTTGCACAAAGACAGCAATTATCAGTTTAAATCCCATAGTAATAGTAGAGATAACAGAAGTATTACTAGTAATCGGAGAGATCAGGGTTCGAGAATATCACTTAAGAAGTAGAGTCTAGTAAAATAAACTTAAAAGATAAAGGTGATGACGAATTCAAAAGGTATAGAACTGATAAGAAGTATAGGATTCTTGAATGATAGCTGTTGTCAGTTTTTTTTATTTCACTCAGCGATATACTACGTTAATATGATTCAGTCAGTTGCAACGTAGAACTACGTACGTATGTACATAAGTTCATGTTGCCATACCACATTAGCACACAGAGACGCAAATGTCAAATCAAATCTCATAGTGATAAAGATAGTAGAGGTATTAATGGTAATGAAGAAGACTAGGGTTCGAAGATATTATTCAAGAAGTATAATTCAGTGAGATAAGGTTAGAAAGACAAAGGTAGAGGTGCTGACAAATCCAGAAGATTAGGATTTGAGAGAGCTCAAAGAATGGATGCACTTGCGTTATTGCAAACGATTTTGAGCCATGTCGTTCAAGGTCTCTAACCATAGGTTATTAACATCTCGCGGACCCCGACGAGCTAGCCTACATCTACCAAAATGACTCAGTCCACTTATCAGTAACTTCATGGATTTTTGTTATGTGTTGGTTTGGCCGCCCCTAGCTTTCTTCAAACCTAGTCCTACACCAGAAAACATAACTCGACGAGGCAGTCGGCAGTTAGGCATACGCAACACACGTCTCAACCACCTCAACTGATGGAGCTTTAATACTTCATCTATTCTACCATCCTTACCTAGTACTCGTTCCTTGACGACAGCATTGCTTACTCGGTTGTCCCAAGGTATACGAGCAATGCTTCTTAAACATCTATGATCGGATACTAATAACCTATGAATGTCCTCTACTCTTAACGGCCATGTTTCTCAGCTGTAATTTTATACAACCCGAGAGAGAACCATAAGTCACTGGTAAGTTTACATATTTTAAACCTTGAATACCAAATATCATCAATAATTACCTAAATTGATTACTGTCATCTTTTATTATTTTTTTTTTCAGATAAGTGGTGTTTATACTGTTGAATCCTTAATTGATTCAACAAATGCATTTAAAAATGATTTATTGAATTGGCATGCTGTTGATTTTGCCATACAATCAAATCGTTATACACCAGATGATCAAACTGTAGTATATTTACTCTTAGGTCGTACTAACCAATCATCATCATCATCGTCATTAAGAGAACTTCGTCTTTTAACAATAAAATTCACTCAAACTGAATCCTCTTTGTATTATGTCATGAATAATACTGTTAGTATTGAATATCCATTCAACAATACCGAGTTATCTAATTCAGATGGAATTCATATACAATTTTGTTTGCCGACTGATTCAATGCCACAATCATTATATCCATGTTTACTAGGTTGTTTGTATTGTCTTCGTACTGGACAAGTGTTTATCATTGAAGGTAATAATAATAATAATCTTGATTTGTTGTAAAGATTTATTTCAATTATCTTGTTTCTGATATTTCACCATTGGATTTCAATCAGTTCATGTGAGTGGATTACGTCGTACGAGAATCTACACATATCAATAGAAATTGACCTATTATTCAATCTTGGGCATCAATAATGGGATAATACATACTGATCGTTGTTGAATAAGTTAGTGGATATCGGAACATGTTGGTGTTCGGAGTGATAGTGTTACTGTGTTCTAGTCTTTGTCTGATCATCAATACTGGGATATAGGTACATTTAGCTGACAAGTCCCAAATAGGATGAAACCCACTTTCTGGATTCTTGTGCTAACTGTAATCCGTCTACTCTATAATTCCCATTTATTTATTCATAAAAAACATCATTGTGGTGGAGATTGGTTCTCTGAGAGCTGGATGTTTTGGTTGTAGAGCATTCATTGTTCTTCTAAACAAACAACATCATCAGCACATACTTCAAATAGAGGTGAAGTATTCGAATTTCTGTACGTTTGACCTGTAGCTTGTTCTGTTAACTTCAAACTTGTCTTTGTTTGCACCTTTATTTTGATTGTATCCCCCCTACTGATCTGTTCCTTGATCCTATGTTTGCCTATGATTTTTTTGATTACTTGATAAATTGGTTCAAACGTTGATGTGTTTGTTGATTGCTGATTGATTGAGGTTAACCAAACAAGCTGCAGGTCAAACGTGGAGAAATTCGAATACTTCACTTCTATCTGAAGTTTGTACTGATGATGTTGTTTAGAAGAACAACGAAAGCTCCACAACCATAACATCCAGCTCTCAGTGAACCAATCCCCACCACAATCATCCACCTAAGCTACAAATTTCCTCCACCATCTCAAAAACTCATATAACATCATGTTTACCATGTTCTATTATATTACCTCGCACAAGCACGCGCGCATGTGTGTGTGTGTGGTACCACTTAGATTTAAGTTATATTTCTACTGTTTAAAAGTTAGTTTTATCCATCTGACCCTCGAAAATTACAATTAGGTGACAACTAATAGATACCGGCTCAGTGGTCCGATGGTTAGGCGTTCGCCTACAATACCGAAGGTCCTGGGTTCGAATCCTGCGGGGTGCAGGAGTCGTGGATGCGCACTGCTGATGAGTCCCATACCAGGACGAAACGGCCGTCCAGTGCTTCCAGGTTTCTAATGGCGGTCTAACATTGATCGATTCATGGTTTCAAAAAAAACTTAACAATCTTCACAACCCCGTAATGTAGACAACTAATAAGTCAGACCCACTATTTATTATGAAATTCCTGCTAAACTTATTAACTATTAATCTAAAGTGGTCATTTTAAATTGCATTGAGTAATTTCATCTATCTAAATTAACCAAATTGATCATTGATTATTATCCTATATGTGACCCTAGTTAATTGCTTGTCAACAGAGATTAACTCTAGTCTATTTCTCAGCCCACTAAGTATCAAACTGTCTCATGTCATGTATTTTATTTAATTCATCAAGTGATATACTACTGATTACTGATAATTATTGAAGAGAATAGTTCTTCATTAAATTAAGATGGTATAAAGACAGAGAGAGAGAGAGAGAACGAGGGAACGCTGATTTTAATAGATAGAGTGATCAATTATATACGGTTTAGCTAATAATTTACATTTAATGTATTCCGAAAATCAAATTGTTAACACACTACTCCCTTTCCAAATAAACAAGATAATTTGTAGATTTACAGATTTTATAATTCGTTGATTTTGTGATCTCGAGTTCTGGTAAAAATATGAGGGCAGTAGTTACTTCCTGATTAGGGACACTGTATGATAAAACTACTTCTTGAGGAATGTGTCAATGTAACTGGATTAGATTGGATGTTGATGATTCGGGAGTATGATTTTAAAGCTCACATATTATGATCTTTCTTTAAGTAGTAGTAGTGAAGGAGAACACAGGTGAGGGCAACCGAATTGTATTTAACGAAAATCACAGAGTTACTCAGTAAAATAGGAAAACCATATCGTAACCGTTAATTTGCACATCTTTAATCCATTGTCTGTCAACACAAATCGCAATCGCTCAACCTTTTAGGAAATAAAGATATAAATTCTAAGCCACCCTGATACTAGTCAGTCACAACGTAGAACTTCGTACGTAAGTACATCAGTTCAGGTTGCCATACTGCATTACAACAGAGACACAACTGTCAGTTCAAATCCCATAGTGGTAGAGATAGTGGAAGTATTAGCGGTAATCGAGAAAATTAGGGTTCGAAGATATCGTTTAAGAAGTATAATTCAGTGAGACAACTTCAGAAAGAGAAAGATAGAGGTGTAGTGAAGGAGGACACAGGTGAGGGCAACCGGCTTGTATTTAACGAAAATCACAGTTACTCAGTAAAATAGGAAAACCATATCGTAACCGTTAATTTTACAAATCTTCAATCCATCATCAATCCATTATCTGACATTTCAATGTTGTTCATGCGTTTCATACAAATTCCATTGTGTTCCCACTCTTCCTTTCTTGATCTTCCCCCATCTTCTGCTGCCAGACATTACGTTTACACTCACGTCATATACTACTTATGAGTAGCGCGCACCACAGTACGACTTAGGTCTCAAGTTTACTTCATTTTTAGCCTAACCCCTTCAACCTGCTTGTGTGTTGTTGTATGACCTAAAAGAACAAGTATTCTAGCCAATCTAACTTAATAGGGTTATCCAAATATTTAAAACCGATTACCATATCGAAGTAGTAGCCATGGTTTTCCATTGTTGGCTCACATAGTCCAACTGTGAGTATCATCTGTTTCAGTTTTTTGGTACTCCACTAATATCACCAACCCTCTCTTTCTCTTTCTCTTTCTCATATATATATAAAACTCAGTTCCAAATTCACTGATTTGTACCTAATTCAGTTATCATAAAAAAAATATATTCATGTTTTTTTTTCTTACTAATATTTACTGCTTATACCTTTCTTTCTTTGTTAAGTTTTAACTGGTCAATTTATTGGTAAATTGGAATTTGCACCAACTCCACCGAATCAACCACCATGTCCACAATCATTAATCAGTATTGGAAATACTGATCTACATAATTTGTTCATTTTTTTAACTTGTCAATTTGGCTTGTTTGCTTTAACACCATGTACAATGGATATGCATAGTGTGAATAATAATACTACAACTACTAATAATAATTATGCTAATGAATTATCCAATACTTCAGCAGTAGATATGGATCAAATTAGTTTAACTGGTTCAGAAATAAGCTTGAATAAAACAACAACTATGATGAATAAATCACGTTCGTGTATAACAAGGTAATTTATCATTAACTATCTGTGGTGTATACATATTGGTTTTCTCTTTGTTGATGTTGTTGTTATTGATTCCATGTTTTAGATGACAGCAATGATCAGTTCTGTTATTTCTGAAAGTGTTTTTGGTGAGAGTTGTGTTATAATTCTCTCTTTTCGGGCAGAGTTTTGGAGGTTTGTATTAGACCACCATTAGAAACTGTTACGCCTGCACGTAAACACGTCAACTTGATATGCTTGAACTATTACGAGTTTACCTAGTCGGAAAACGAGAGCGAGGATCTGGTGACACGAGATGTTACTCGAATCCGATTATTACAACCCCCATATTTAGTTAAAATAAGAAGACATGATGTGAAGTAGAACGTGTATTCTACAAGCATCCAGAAAGTACAAGGTCTGAATCCAGAAGTGAATTAGGATCCCAGACTAGGGATCCGGGACTGGGTCCTGGTCGTGGTCATAAAATGTTACAGATAATGCGTTTCTATACATTTTGGTCGAATAGTAAACAGCATCGAATTCTGTGACATTGACAGTTAAGACGACCAATAGGACAGCCAATAAGAAACAACATTGAAGTATTTGACTTTGACAGTTATAACGACCATAATTTTGACCAATAATTCTCTTAGGATATTGGATGAATATCCTAACAGAAACCTGGAAGCACTGAAAGACGGCCGTTTCGTCCTGGTATGGGACTACTCATCAGTGGCAGTGCGCATCCACGACTCCTGCTCCTCGCAGGATTCGAACCCGGGACCTTCGGTATTGTGCGCGGATGCCTAACCATCGGACCACTGGGCCGGCATCCAACGGTGTTAATGTCTAACTCTGATTGATCTAGGGATTTTGTGCGACCTCACCCATTTGTCTTTGGTAGTTGTTACTGCCTACACCCGACAGGGTTGAACTCTCTCTCTCTCTTTATTAAACAACCCAGCTATTCCTAATATTCTTCCTAGTATTCTCGGACACCAATTCACTTGAAATGTTCTCCCAAATTCAGAACACGGTTTGAACAGGGAAAGAGATTATATTCCAGCAACAAGTTTAGATGGGAGTCGGCGAAGTCCAAAACATTGGCATACTTGTATGGTGGCCGATTTTGTTGACGTTGGGATCACCATTTGTATACACAGGCGAGCGAATGCGCGAAAGAATTTACGAAGCAGCGAATAAAACGAATGAAGCGACGTGAATTGGAGAAGGCTAATGAGCCAACTCCAAGAGATAGAGTGTGACTAAGAATATATAGTCAGACAAATAAATATAAGACAGACATGTGACAAGCGAAATAAGTATGAATAAAATCGACGAATGGTTGACAAGGTCAAGTGACAAGTGGGACATGTCATGTGAGCTCATACAAACCAGATAATAATAAGAACGAATGGTACATATAAATTGTTGCAATACAAACTGGCTTGGTTGGTTAAATAAATTAATCGATAGGGCTTGACCAAATTAAATGTAAGCGAACTGGAATATATGTGGAGGCACTACATACTTATAGTTTTTTTTACATGAGAAGATTCTAGAATGTTTCCTCAGTATTGGCTAGCGCTGATTGGATACGAAAAAGCCAATCAGCGTGCAGCTAACACAATCATGCTTTAATCCAATCTATGTCGCACTAACAAGTTGTATTTTATATTCGCTTTAAACTAAGTAATATTTGTACTGAAAAGTTGTTAGTTTGTGAATATCGCTTCACTTACTGCTTCCTGTGCGAGAAGCAGCTAGACTAATATCTAGTAACCTTTTCATAAATCAGTTTCGCTTAAAATTGACCATATAAACTTGTAATCAGTAAGTTAGTGCTTTCATTCAGCAGAATGGTTTAATATAGTCTCATTATTTCACAGGATAAATCACCAGTGAGATTTATATAAAATCAATACCATTATCACTCGATGCTAAAAGAGGCTATAATACTGATTCTAACCAAGAAATTTTCTGGTGTGCATTATCAACTAGGATAGAATAGCAACCTAAATAAAGGCATTAATTTAGAATTATTCTATGAGATCGGTAGTCTATATCGACCAACAGGGTTCATACTTAATAGTCAACAACTTGAGTTGATGTCATATTTTAGATTGGTTCAAATTTCTTCCAGCCTACTCGTAAACTATCGATCATTTTCGGTTCACAGATGTGTTTTTATGGCGCTATCTCTGTTTTCCTTACTAAATACAATTGGATAACCTCTCACTATTTGAGTAACTGATGAGCGGTCGATGAATTGTTGAATATCCTGAACGCTGTTGGAATTCGGCTCGTCTCAGACTAAGTATTGTTAATCTCGTCAGCACACCCTGCTTACTTACCAATCATTTTTGACAAGACACTATCGCAGTCGTTAATGGTTCAGAATAACTGATGTACATCCCAACCTCATCAACCGATTGACCGTCTTCACTTACTAACCTGACATCAATATTGTCCATTTGATAGTTTCACAAAAGGCAAGCAATACCTCAAAAACATACCTGTGATCATGTTTCACATAGATAGAGTAATACAAAGTTAACTAATGTGTACAGTATGTATACTGTACTTACAAATCATAATCATTAAAATACTTCAATTCCTACTTCTTTTTTTCCCTAGTTCTTCTGCTATATCTTCTCAAACATTGAAAAAATCTGAATTAGATTTTTCAATTCTTCTGCATACAATTGATAATCAACGTTTAAAAGTCAATATTGTATTCACTACTAGCGATACTTATGTGATAACATTGAATAATAACAATGAATCACCGGATAAACCAATTCAACTCTCTGTAGAAGATCGTTTATTTGTTGGTTTATCCGAAGTAGCACGTGTGTTTTGGATGGGATTTAAAGTAATTTGATTTGATTTGATTTTCGATTTTCCTTTTTTCTTTTTTGTTTTGTGTGTTCCTTTTTTTATTTATAAAGAAACATTGATTAGGAATTTGGTGTTTAAACTGTTGATTATGTTGTAGTAGAGATAACAAAATAGATTACAAAGATTCCTATCGTAAACTATCTTTTATGTCAGTTAGCTATTGAAAATAAGAAAGCACTGAACGCCTGTTTGGCTTTAGTGTTCTTTGTCGTGTTCAAGGTTTAATTGCATGACCAACTAGTGTAGTGAACGAGAACACAGGTGGGGCAACCGGATTGTATTTAGCGAAAATTACAGAGTTACTCAGTAAAATTGGAAAACCATATCGTAAATCGTTCATTTGCAAAATATCAGTTCATCATATCGAACTGGATTGTTCCTGTTGCAAACAACATCAATCCATTGTCACTATTCATGCGTTTCATACAAATTCCATTGTGTTCCCACTCTTCTTCCTTTCTTTTTGATCTTCCCCCATCTTCTGCTGCCAGACATTAGGTTGACACTCACGTCATATACTACTTATAAGTAGCTCACACCACACTAGCACTTGTTTTATTAAATAATAGCAAATAGATCTTCATGCTGTTATCAGAAATCATTTGAGGTTGCAAAGATGAACTGTTAAACCCTGCCTCATTCAAAGAACTAGTTTCAAATGAAAATGAAATAGCTGTCAAGTCCTTGCTAATTTGCAGTGATTCATTGAATGATGAAGCCAGTTTATTTTTCACTTACCTACTTACCCCTGTTACCCCTGGGCCGTCGACCAGCGGATAATTTTTCCAGTTAGCGTTTTTTTAGTGAGTTGCATTTTTACGAGGATGGGTTCGGTACCCCTATGCTCAACCGTTTTCCTCCACCTGGACTTGTGACCGACAGTAACCCTAGAAGAGCTCCAGTTGGAGTTAAGCCAGTTTGTGCTGAAAACCATTTCCACAGTCATTCAAATACAAAATGTCGTCAGATTTTTAGGTTGTATTGGTCATTGATTGATCTTAGTTGGGGTGCGTTTGAAAGTCGGCGAATATTAGATGGCTTTTTTGTCATAATATTATGTGAATTTCAGCAGTGCATGCTTACAAATCTTTCGGAAATCAAGCCAGGTCCTTCAGGTTTCGCGATTATCATGTGCTCACTGGTGACTAGATTTGTGAAGGAATTCACAGTGTTCTAGTGAGAAGCTATGATCAGTGTGGTTCAACCGTGTTGAGTGTGAGGCAAGTACTCACGAGGAAGATGACGGATGAGGTCTCACAATATCGTGGATCGATTGAAGTTAGACTTTATTACTATTACCGTTGAATGCTGGTTCAGTGTCTCAGGTTCGATTCCTCCTCACTTGATCGTGAATATGCCACAATACAGATGGAACGGCCGTTCAGTGTTTTCAGGTTTCTAATAGTAGTCTGACATTGATTGGTTTCATGATTTCAATGAAGTGCCTAGTTATTAAAACCTCTATAACTTGACGTTCAATGGTGTAATTTTAACTTCAAATTTTGTCTAATAAATTAAATTCTTTGTATTACGGGGTTGTGAAGATTGTTAAGTTACACATATTTGCTGAGGAGTCCCATACCAGGACGAAATGGCCGTCCAGTGCCTCCAGGTTTCTAATGGTGGTCTAACATTGATCGATTCATGGTTTCAAAAATGTGTAATTAAATTCTTATTAATTCATATTCTATTTTAATATAATTGAAATCTAAATTTTTTAAAATAATCATTATAAATAATATTTTGATTTTTCTAACATTTATTTACCTAATCACAAGGAACAAACATTAAATTATTTAAAATGTATTCTACATGATCAAAATGTTTGGAAATATTTTCCATCAGTGTATTTTCGTTTAATTCAACGTTTATTAAATGAACATCCTGTAAATGATGCTCGTTGGCAATGGTTAACCGGTCAACTATCCGTCAGTATCGATTCCATTCCAATGCGTCATTTACATTATCTTGAATCTGAAGGTCCATCAAATTTCCAATATATTCTTCCTAAAAATAGTAGTAATAATAATATTAATCCAAACTATGATCGTTTCGGATCCAGTGACAATTTTCTCTTATTACCAATGGCACGTTTAAATGCTCGTTTAGATGCATTGCATAATTTACAAGAATTATGGTTGCTAATCTATCAATTATGCTGTGGTGGTTCCTCTTCTTCTTCTTCTTCTAATCATCATGAACAATGGAATCAATCAATAGATGATATCAATGCATTGTCATCAGTGAAATTAATTGATCTACCGAAATATTTGAATATTTTATTATCTATGCCTAGCAAATTATCAAATAATAATTATACTACTAACAATAATACTAGTAGTAGTAGTAGTAATAATCAGTACAAAAATATAAAATCACAAAAACATGTTATGAACATTTCACATGTATTATTATGCCATGAAGTTCGTAATCTTATGCATGAACAAGCATTCATTAATAATATTGAAGCATGCAATCATGATGAGAATGATGATGTTATTATTAATAAACATAAACGTCATCGATATCATGAAGAAGAAGAAGAAGAAGAGTACATAAATGATAATAATAATAATGTTGTACACAATGTGATGTTAATGATGAATACATTTCCTGATTCAAAATATGCATGTTGTTCCATTGAACATGATCAATGTATTGAAGAACAAACAAGTCAACTATGTCAACTGTTAGATATTGATTGTCTGCTAAAATTAGCTGACGATGATAATGGGAATGGAGGAAATTGTGCAGAAACACATATATTATATGGTTTACATATGGCTAGTGAATTAGTTGAATTTGCTAAAGCATTACAAATGAAATTAGCCAAGTTTGTTATGCTTTCTTTGAGGTTTCTTTATTTTATTCTTGTGTATTTGATTACAATGTTGTAGTATTTAATAATGACCGCTCTGTTCTACTCTCTATGGCTATGAAACATGCTCTGTTCTACTCTCTCTATGGTTGTGAAATATGGCTAATAAGAGTAGAAAATAATTCGTAGGTAACTTGTTTTCGAAGGAAAAGGGGACTAGGTAAGGATGGCAAATCAATAGATGAAGTAGTGAAACTTCATCAGTTGAAATGGTTGCGATATGTGTTACGAATGTGCGACCATTAAACTAACTCGAAGAGCAATGTTTTCTGGTGTAGGAGTAGGCTGGAAGAAAGCTAGAGGCAGCCAAACCAAAACGTGGCAGAAATGCATGAAGTCACTGACAAGCGAACTGAGTCATGTAAGTAGATGTAGGCTACCTGGTCAGGGTCCACGAGATGATAGTAATCGATGGTTAGAGACCTTGAATGACATGGCTCAAAATCGTTTGCAATGGCGCAGGTGCATCCACTCTTTGTGTTCTTGTTACGCCTGCACGTAAACACGTCAACTTGATATACTTTAACTATTACGAGTTTACCTAGTCGGAAAACGAGAGCGAGGATCCGGTGACACGATATACTACTCAAATCCAATTATCCCAACCCCGATATTTAGTTAAAAATAAGAAGACTTGATATGAAGTAGGACATGTATTCTACAAGCATACAGAAAGTACGAGGTCCGAATCCAGAAGAGAATCAGGATCCCGGACTAGGGATCCGAGACCGAGCCTTGGTCCTGGTCGTGGTCATAAAATGTTACAGATGATGCGTATATATACATTTTGGTCGAATAGGAAACAGCATCGAATTCTGTGACATTGACATTTAAGACGACCAATAGGAGGTAACGTTTGAAATGACATTGACAGTCAGGATGACCAATGAGAGACAACATTTAAGTATTTGACTTTGAGAATTAAAACGACCATAATTTTGACCAATAGAAATGGACCAATATGATTTGACCAATAATTCTCTTAGGATATTGGATGAATATCCTAACAGTTCTTCCAAATCCTAATCCTCGGGGCTCTTCACCTTTATCTTTCTCTTTTTATGTTTATTTCACTTCTTGAATAATATTTTCGAACCCTAGTCTCTCTGATCACTGCTAATGTTTCTACTACCTCTACTATTATGGGATTTGAATTGAACTGATTTAGGTACGTACGTAGTTCTACGTTGTAGCTGACTGACTGAATGACTGACTATTCATATTGCAAAAAGCTAGTAGTATCTGCTTGTGAAACTTACTTAACGGAAAATTTTCTGATACGACATTATCCGTTTTTAATGAGATTTAAGCCAACCACAATTCACCAGTCACCTAGTTTGTTTTTGCTTCAAAATATGTTGTCGCCTATTAAGTAGATAATGTTATCAACTTTGATAACTGAAATATTTATTACATATTTTTTTAATTTTATCTATGAACTCTGAGTATCCGCCTATTGGCCATCATACTTAGTTAGAGTGCAGTGTTTATACATACCCAAGCATCTAGTGGAATGAGTTAATTGAATTGGATATTTTAGCTATATTGTTTATATAATGGGCTAGTGATGAGTTTGACTGCTTAAACTGAATAAAATTTGTCGAATGGAACTTAAATCTCTGAATGCTTCAACTAATTAGCCACCACTTTGGTAGATAAAATGGCCTAACCACTGGCTACCTCGACGAGCGTTGTTGTCTGATGTAGGAATAGGCTAGAATAAAGTTAGAGGCAGCCAAACCAAAATATGGCACAAATCCATAAAATCACTGAAAACTGGAATAAGTCATGTTTGTAAGTTTAGACTACTTGGTTGGCGGGGGGGGGTCAACGAGACAATGGTAACCATTTCTTAGAGACTTTAAATGACATCTATCCATTAACAACCAATCTACGTATTCTGATTTGAGCCCGCTCACATAGTTAGTCAGTCACTCAGATGCAACGTAGAACTTCGTACGTAAGTACACCAGTTCATGTCGCCATACCACATCAGCACACAGATGTAATTGTCAATTTAAATCCAATAGTAGAAGGGGTAGTAAAGGTATTAGAAGTAATCGGAGAGGTTAGGATTAGAAGATATTATTCAAGAAACATGGTTCAGTGAGAAAAGTTTAGAAAGACAAAATTAGAGGTGTTGAAGAACCCAGAAGATTAGGATTTGAGAGAACAAAAAGAATAAATGCACCGTCGCCATTGCAAACGGTTTTGAGTCATGTCATTCAGGGTATCTAACCATCGATTATTATCATTTCGCGGACCCCAACCATGTAGTCGAGAATTACCGACATGACTCAGTCCACTCGTCAATGACTTCATGGATTTCTGCCATGTTTTGGTTTGGCCGCCCCTAGCTTTCTTCCAACCTATTCCTACACTACAAAACAGAGCTCGTCGAGACAGTTGGTGGTTAGGCATACGCAACACATGTCTCAACCACCTCAACTGATGAAGTGTCACTACTGCGTCTATTGATCTGCCATTCTTACCTAGCACCCGTTTCCTAATAGCAGCGTTGCTCACTCGGGTGTCCCAGCATATACGAGCACCTATGATCGAAAACCAGTAACCGACGAATATGTTCCACTCTCACTGGCCATGTTTCACAGCCATAAAGTAAGATGGAGCGAACCACTGCACAGTACACTCGTCCTTTAGTCAGCAAACGGATATCTCACCTACGCCATAAGTGACGCAGGTTGGCAAAAGCCAATCGAGCCTTCTGTATCCGAGATGAAATTTCGTCAATCACCAGGCCGTCGGCACTGATGAGACTCCCATGATAAGTGAAGCGTTCTATCCTGCTAACACATTCCTTTTTAGACTGATTGTTTTATTGTTATGTATGAGCTAAAAGTTCATACGGTCGATAATATCCTCTTTTGTAATTCATAACACATAAGTAGTAGCATTAGAAATTCATTGTTTTGTTCACTCATTGAAACATTCCCAACATTTACAGTTATCTTAATTTTATACTTTACATTCTAGAGAACCACAATCTTTATATCAGTCTATTTTTAATGAAGTTACAAAGAATGCAGGATTTACTTTGAATTATTTACAAGTTATTAAATCACAAGATATTGTTTTACAAACAGTAACTTTAATTCCTCAATTAGTGAAAACATTCTGTGAAACAATTGATACTCAAATGTCTAAAATTACTACTACTGTCTCAACATCATCATCATTATCTGAAGAAAATGATCATGTTTCATCAGATATATTATCAGCTAAAAACTCTGTCGAGCTTCTTATACACATTTCACGATTGATTGAGGTGAGATTTAGTGAAAATCTTATTTTTATATGTGATCATTATGATATAATTGTGACCGATTTGGTCTGGTGAGTTTTTTTACTGGTATGGTGATGGACGTCACTTCCAGACTGCCTACATCATGGAAGGGTACTTCTTGAGGAACCTAAAAAGGAAATCGAGTTAGCATTGGTCTGAGCAACCTGGGAGTGTGACCGCAGAGCCCAAGGGACAACTGCTTGAGGCCCGTCACGCACGGCCTTTTTATGAGAAGTTTTTGAAGTGTTAGATTCGCTCTTGTTTAAAAGGCCTTACCGTCGAAGACGAAAATCCGTGGGGCAAGGTCAGATGTGGCATCTTTAGGGTCGACCCTTTCGAACGCTGCAGATACTGGTTGTCCGAGGAAAACACTTTATTTGCTGTCACACCCCTCTACAGTCAGCAGTACAACTGCGTTCTCAGACCTTGAGTAACTACTTTTAGTCTCATCGTTTTCCAATCTACCTGCCTGGCATGGTAGAACCTTCAGGAACACATATGTTGCATCCAATGTAGCTCGGTTGTGTCATCATGATATGCAAGGCTGACCACCACGTCAAGATAGCAGCTACGGTCGAATTCCTCATCACCTTTTCCTTCTAAGTTTATTTGACTAGATTATGACTTCTTGAATAATATCTCCAAACCCTAATCTCACCGATCACTGCCAGTAACTTCTACTACCGCTACTACTACTACTACTACTACTACTACTACTACTACTACGGGATTTGAATTGACAGTTATATCTCTGGTATGGCAACTTGAACTGATGTATGTACGCACGTACGTACGAAGTTCTACTTTGTAACTGACTGAGTGTAATGATACAATAACCTCCTCAGTTAATCAAATCTATTTTTTCCTATCCGCTTTTCGATTTCATTTTAGCACACGCACCCTCGTAACACTTGATCAAGTCGGTCATGCCAAGAGAGATGGTGCATAAGAACCCAATAGTTTTAAATTATAATACTCACCAATTATGTTTAATTTGTGCATCAAATATTTAGTCTACATTTCACTAAAAAATAAAATCTCTATTTCATTAGAAATGGTGATCTAACTTATTGATCAAATTACAAATCCAAAGACAGTTAATGTTGAATGGGCAAGCTCATTGACGCTTATTTGTTTGACACTTGTCAACAATAACATATTTTATTGATTAATAGAAGTAACTGAGAACATAAATGCGTTATCAATATTGAACTAAATCTATAATGATGTAGGCATTTAGGTGTAATGTTTCTTGTAATTATGCAAACTGTCTATTCACTTGTAGAACAACAAACTATCATGATCTCATCATAAGCTCGCATATAACATCCAAACATGTACTATCCGTCTAAATTTAGTCAATATATCAACAGTTTGTTTTACTACTAACTTACACCTGTTACCCCCCGATGGAGCATATGTCACCGACCAGCAGTATTATTCTCCAACCTACTCTGTCCTGGACCACTTGCCTTTTCAGTTCTATCCAGTTTCTGTTCATTCTTCTCATATCTATCTCCATTACTCGACATAATGTGTTCCTTTGTTGCTTATCCTCTTTTGACCTTTGACCTTCAAAGTGAACAGTATATTTTATTGTAGTATGGCGTAGGCGTGATATCCGATTGCTAACCAAAGGACGAGTGTACTGCGCAGCAGTTCGCTCCGTTCTCCTATATGGCTGTGAAACATAGCCGTTAAGAGTAGAAGATGTTCGTAGGTTACTAGTATTCGATCATAGATGTTTAAGAAGCATTGCTCGGTATATCGTGGGACAACCGAGTTGAGGTGGTTGGGACATGTGTTACGTATGGCTAACCACCGACTGCCTCGACGAGCTATGTTTTGTGGTATAGGAGTAGAGTGGAAAAAAGCTAGGGGCGGTCAGACCAAAACATTGCAGAAATCCATGAAGTCACTGACAAGTGGACTGAGTGATGTTGGTAGATGTAGACTACCTGGTTGAGGTCCGCGAGACGAAAGTCACCAATGGTTAGAGACCTTGAATGACATGGCTCAGAGTCGTTTGCAATGGTGCAAGTGCATCCATTCGTTGAGCTCTCTCAAATCCTAATCTTCTGGATTCCTCATCACCTCTATCTCTTTGTTTTTTATTTCACTGAATAATACTTCTTGAATAATATCCTCAAACCTAGTCTTCTTCATTACCATTAATACCTCTTCTATCTTTATCACTATGAGATTTGATTTGACATTTGCGTCTCTGTGTTAATAATGTGGTATGGCAACATGAACTTATGTACATACGTACGAAGTTCTTACGTTGCAACTAACTGACTGACTGACTGATAAATTATCATAAAATTGTGACCCATTTTTATTAATTTGATTATATATATTCATTAAAGAGAAAAAAAAATTTACAACCAGTTTTTTTTATATTTTTTCTTTTCATTCCATTTTTTTTATTCATCCTCTCTTGATATGATGAATGAATATTAGGCTGGTATTGCTGAAATTGTACGTTATCGTGAAACACATCTGCCGAAATTATTTGAACTGATTGAATCGTGTAGTAGTGCTAGTAGTAGTAGTAGCAGTTATGCAATGAATAATCATCAACTCAATAGAAAAGTTTATTATTTACCTTGTTGGCTTACAGATGAAGAACCATATGGAATTGGTAATGTTTTATTAAAATTAGTAAGTGAATTTTGTTTATTATGAATAATAATGATAATGATGATGATGTAAACTGATTGTAATAAATTCATTCATTCACTTTAAAATGTATTCTGAAATGTCTAGGAGAATGTAACTTTACCAAACATCGTGTTATTTAAGAATATTGTGCGTATTCGTTTGTATTGAAAAATCTAAGTTAGACCTGTGCTCACTAGTGACTAGCTTCGTGAGGAATCTTCTCCTATGAGTTCTAGTGGGAAGACGTGACCGGTGAAGTTTAACCTGTTCAGGTGTAGACAATAACTACCGAAGACTGTGTATGAGGTTGCGCAACTCCGTGAATTTGATCAAGTTAGACATTAACACCGTTATATACCGGCTCAGTGGTCTAACGGTTAAGGCGTTCGCTCACAAAACCTAAGGTCCTGGGTTCGAATCCTGCGGGGTGCAGGAGTCGTGGATGCGCACTGCTGAGGAGTCGCATACCAGGACGAAACGGCCGTCCAGTGCTTCCAGGTTTCTAATGGTGGTCTAACATTGATCGATTCATGATTTCAAAAAATGTGTAACTTAACAATCTTCACAACCTCGTAATGCAAATTAACATTATTGGATGCCGGTCGGTTCAGTGGTGCCAGAAGTTAATAAGCGTTCGCACGTGCAAGACCGAAACTCCTGGGTTTGACTCCCGCAGGTGGAGATAGTGGATACTCATTGCTGATCAGTCCCATACTAGATACAATGATTGGTTCATGATTTCAATGAAAAACAACAATCTCCATAACTTTGTAATAAATATCAGGAGATTTCCATTTAATCGATTTATAAAAACTACTTTCAAATTTAACATTCTCTATAAAACCAAGGAATAATATTGTTGAAAATGTTAGATCTGCAGAACGCAGTTGGAAAGTGCCCTAATTTTTTAGATTTTCTGTTTTCGTGCATGGGCTGATCAGTTGACTCTGAAATTACATTTCCCATCTGGAAAATCTTTGGCTGTTATTGGTTGATGATGTATTATTTTAGTACGCTATTTTTGTGGCTCTCCCAAGGACGTTGCTATCATGTATAAATAAACTCGATTTGTGTGCTTGTAGACCTCATATTTTCTGGGTTCTTGTAGAATACACTTTCTACGCCATGTCAAGATTTGTATTGGGGGTTTGGGAAGCTCGGATTAGAGTAGTCTATCGTGTCACTGGATCATCATTTGTCTTCGCCCTTGTTTACCGACTAAGGTGAACTCGTAATAGTTTCAAGCATATCAATTGACGAGCATAACAAACACGTTCATTTGGCTACATTTGTTGTTATTACTCTTGTTCTGTCAATGATCTAGCCTTAACAAGTTTGCTTATGGTTCTATTGATCTGGTTATCTAATATTTGAATAGGAATAGATACATCCTTTTGCCCATGAGTATCTTCGCCAACCTTTTAAATCTAATCTTTGTATATTCATGACTCTACTGTAATGCACTATTTTTGTTTAGTTGGAATTAAAACTAGTGTTCTTCCCTGTCTTCACCGCCTTCTCCAGAGTATTAGTCTCATGGGTATTCTCATCACTTGACTCTAACTTCTTGTTTCGAATTTCTTCACTCATTCCTAATGTTTTAAAGGATTGCTCTTATATCCTGCGACACCCGAGTGAGCAACGCTGTTATTAGGAAACGGGTGCTAGGTAAGAATGGCAGATCAATAGATGAAGTGCTGAAACTTCATCAGTTGAGGTGGTTGGGACATGTGTTACTAATCCCCTTCCACTGACTGCCTTGACGAGCTTTGTTTTGTAGTGTAGGAATAGGTTGGAAGAAAGTTAGGGGCGGCCAAACGAAAACATGGCAGAAATCCATGAAGTCAACAAATGGACTGAGTCATGTTGGTAGTTGTCGGCTACCTAGTTGGGGTCCACGAGATGATAATAATCGATGGTTAGATACCCTGAATGACATGACTCAAAACCGTTTGCAATGGCATCGGTGCATTTATTCTTTGTGTTCTCTCAAATCCTAATCTTCTGGATTGGTCAGCACCTCTACCTTTGTCTCTCTAATCTTATCTCACTGAATTATACTTGTTGAATAATATCTTCAAACCCTAGTCTTCTTCATTACCATTAATACCTCTACTATGTTTATCATTATGGGATTTGATTTGACATTTGCGTTTCTGTGCTGATGTGGTATGGCAACATGAACTGATGTACTTACGCACGTACGAAGTTCTACGTTGCATCTGACTGACTGAATGTTTTAAACAACGACTCTGGTGTTAAGACAGGAATTTCCACTATGAAATATCTATTCTATTGCGTTTTTTTTTCTTTGTCAAAAGAAGAAAACGTCCTCTCGTTTTTGTGCATTGATTGTTGTTTTAATAGAATCCACCTCCCTACTCTTTTTAATCTCACAATTCATTTTGATCATTAATTTTTGTGTATTCCTTTTATTCTCTATCTATCTATCTACACACACATACACACAAACAGTTAAATCATCTTGTTAAAGTTGGTTCAAATAAAGTATTATTATCGAATGAACATGATGGCGTTGATCAAACATCATCATCATCAGACCAATTCACATCAAATCATCAATTAATCAATGATTGCATTCAATATGCCATTGATTTAATTCGTAGTATTTTAAGTTTAGCTAAACAACGTGTCCTTTGGGCTATTGAACATTCAACATGGGCATGGTGTCCAACAAACAAACAATCGTCGTTGTATGATGAAGAGGATGAGGATGATGATGACAATGTGGACAGTGACAATGATTTACAAATTCATCGAACACGTCGTCTATTACATTTATCAAATAATAAAACTCGTCTACAAGTATTACAACGTTTAAGACGTTTAAAACATTGGTATGCAAATTTAAGAGAATATTTAATTTCTATTGTGGGTAAGTTGTTTTTGTTTTGTGTTTCCCCCCCTTTTCATTTATACTATTTTGGGGCAGAGTTTTGGAGGTTTTGTGTTTTTACACATTTGTATTCATGAATCAGTCAATCATTGTTAGACCACCATTAGAAACCTTGAAGCACTGGACGGCCGTTTTGTCCTGGTATGGGACTCATCGATGGCAGTGCGCATCCATGACTCCAGCTCCTCGCAGTATTCGACCCCGGGACCTTCGGCATCCAACGGTGTTAATGTCTAACTCTGATTGATCTAGGGATGTTTGTGCGACCTCACCCATTTGTCTTTGATAGTTACTGCCTACATCCGACAGGGTTGAACTCCATTGGTCACGTATTATACCAGGACGAAACGGCCGTCCAGTGCTTTCAGGTTCCTAATGGTGTCGGTCTAACAATGATTGATTGATAATTTCAAATGTGTAAAATTTATACTATACTGAAATTTATACTATTGTTTGTCATTTTTGTAAATAAGTATGATTCAATGGAGAATGATCTTTTTCTTTAGAAAATATTTTAGTTCCAGAGTTTTGATAGGATTTGATTATGTACTCTCGTTATTTCAGACTATTGTTAAGTGGATGAACACGTTTACTGAAAATGTCATGTGTTCTATAGTCTATAGAATCTACTGCATGATTGTATATCTGTTCAGAGTATCAGAAATCTGAATGAATGCGTGATAAATAGCTTTTTATTATTTTGTTCTTCAGCAGTGCGATTCAGTGATTATTGCGCTCAACTTTCAGCCACTAGATCCTAAGTTCAAATCCTACTCCCGATATACTACGATTGAAGCTATCACACTTAGAATGTAGCTCATATCCAGATACTTGCTGAATGAGTTGGTTTGTAGTGCGTTAAGCCTACATAGTGTTGGTGTTGTAACGCTTGCTTAGATAATTCCCAGCTAAATCCTATTGCTTAGTATTCTCTGACCACAATACACTGGACAAGTTCCCAAGAATCAAAAACACGGTTGAACAGGAAAAGATTATATTCCAAATAGCGAGGTTAAATGGAAATAAGAAACCAAAGGTGATGGCGAAGACCAAGAAGGCAAAAATAGATACAACGTTAGTCTATTTATAGCATTTACATGAGAAGCTTCTGGATAGAAATTCATGTGATCGACTGGATTAGATTTAACTAATCAGCATGCAGCTAATAATACGAGAATTTTCTATCCTGTTCTCCAAGATTCGATCAGGCGCTGATTGGATAGGAAATTAGCCAATCAGCGCGCAGCAACGTAGTCGTGCTTTAATTCCATCTATGTCCCACTAACAGTTGGGGATGTTAGATCCCCACAACTCACGTGGAAAAAGGTCCTTATTTTGGAGTTTTTATGTTTTCGCCCATAAGACGCTTAGTTGACATTCAGCCTGCATTTCCCACTCGGAAAATCCTTGACTATCATTGGTAGATGAATTATTTTAGTATGCTATTTTGTGCCTTTTTCTTAAGGGCGTTGCTATCATTGTATAAATAAGGTTGATTTGTATGCTTGTCGACCTCGTATTTTTTGTGTGCCTGTAGAAAATACATTCTCCTACGCCTTATCAAGACTTCTTGCTTTAGTTAGCAGTTCAGGGGACAATCGAATCAGAATAGCCTATCCTGTATCATTGACCTTCATTCCATTTCAATTATAACTGATCGCATATTAATTTGTGTGTATGCGAAATATATATCGAGTTGTTAAATGATTGTGAAAATCGTCGACTTAAGTTTCATGTTTCCTCATGCGATTCAAATCTATACCAGCCAGCCAGCTTCACAAGTCTAAGTCGTTAACGCTGAGCACTATATCAATTTGTTGTAACGCTGCTACGTATAGCTATTCAGTCCTAGCGGCGTCCAATTCAAATATCCCAATACGACCCAAAATGCTATTTCCGAATCTCCTAGATATCAGAACGCAACACCGCGGGATGGAGTTGTTTATTGGGTCGAATACATAAGAGAGGTAGGCAGGAGAAACGGAATCGTAATCCGAATCATGAAGGCTTACAGATAGTGCGTATTTATGTATTAAGGTCGAATAGGAAAGAGCATCAAAGTTTGTGACATTGACAGTTCAGGACGACCAATAAGAAAGAACACTTGAAATGACATTGATAGTCCGGATGACCAATAAGAGATAACATTGAAGTATTTGACTTTGACAGTTAAAACGACCATAATTTTGACCAATAGAAATCGACCAATGGGATTACACTTCTAAAAATAATACTCTTAGGATAATTGGTGAATATTCTAACACAATTGAAACTAGTTTTCTGTTGAACTGAAATGTTTACATGTCGACTGATCGATCTACTTATTAATATCATATTTCACTAATATTACAGGGGATCAATTGCGTAGACCTGAATCTGCTCTGGATTTGGCTGAACAATTTATCGATCGAGATCAAATTATGCGTTGGTGTTACTTATTGGAAGTACAAGATGAACAATATAGTTTAAATGTTGTTGATAATAATATTGTTAGTGATCATGATGACAATGATGATGTCTTGTCAGCGAATGAAATCATTGATCAACGTAATCGTTCTCATCATCATCATCATCGGTTGGCAGCAATTATTAAACGTATTCCACCTGAATGGAAACTTCCAGATTATGCACTGCAAGTAAGTTATCTATGCATGCGCATGCATATTATGCATCCACAACCTTAATAGATGTATAGCTAAGTAGTTAATGTACTGTCTATCTATTCAATCATATTTCTTTTGTTTCAGTTAGATTTTTAGTGTTTTACAAGACTAGTTAACTAGTTTAACTATGCATGTGTTGTAACGCTGCTACGTGTAGCTGCTATTCAGTCCTAGCAGCGTCCAATTCAAATATCCCAATACGACCCAAAATGCTATTTCCAAATCTCCTATATATCAGAACGCAACACCGTGAGATGATGGAGTTGTTTATTGGGTCGTATATAGAAGAGAGGTAGGCAGGAGAAACGGAATTATTAAGTCTTTCAGATAGTGCGTATTTATACATTAAGGTCGAATAAGAAAGAGCATCAACGTCTGTGACATTGATGCTCTTTCTTATTCGACCTTAATGTATAAATACGCACTATCTGAAAGACTTAATAATTCCGTTTCTCCTGCCTACCTCTCTTCTATATACGACCCAATAAACAACTCCATCATCTCACGGTGTTGCGTTCTGATATATAGGAGATTTGGAAATAGCATTTTGGGTCGTATTGGGATATTTGAATTGGACGCTGCTAGGACTGAATAGCTAGCTATACGTAGCAGCGTTACAACACATGCGTAGTTAAACTAGTTAACTAATCTTGTAAAACATTAAAAATCTAACTGAAACAAAAGAAATATGATTGAATAGATAGACAGTACATCAATTACTTAGCTATATATCTGTGAATGCATAATATGTATGCGCATGCATAGATAACTTACTTGCAGTGCATAATCTGGAAGTTTCCATTCAGGTGGAATACGTTTAATAATTGCTGCCAACCGATGATGATGATGATGAGAACGGTTACGTTGATCAATGATTTCATTCGCTGACAAGACATCAATCAATTGTCATCAATGATCACTAACAATATTATTATCAACAACATTTAACTATATTGTTCATCTTGTACTTCCAATAAGTAACACCAACGCATAATTTGATCTCGATCGATAAATGGTTCAGCCAAATCCAGAGCTACGCAATTGATCCCCTGTAATATTAGTGAAATATGATATTAATAAGTATGATCGATCAGTCGACATGTAACATTTCAGTTCAACAGAAAACTAGTTTCAATTGTGTTAGAATATTCACCAATTATCCTAAGAGTATGATTTTTAGGAAGTGTAATCCCATTGGTCGATTTCTATTGGTCAAAATTATGGTCGTTTTAACTGTCAAAGTCAAATACTTCAATGTTATCTCTTATTGGTCATCCGGACTATCAATGGCATTTCAAGTGTTCTTTCTTATTGGTCGTCCTGAACCGTCAATGTCACAAACTTTGATGCTCTTTCCTATTCGACCTTAATACATAAATACGCACTATCTGTAAGCCTTCATGATTCGGATTACGATTCCGTTTCTCCTGCCTACCTCTCTTATGTATTCGACCCAATAAACAACTCCATCCCGCGGTGTTGCGTTCTGATATCTAGGAGATTCGGAAATAGCATTTTGGGTCAAAAAAAAAAAAAAGAATTGGACGCCGCTCAGGACTGAATAGCTATACGTAGCAGCGTTACAACAAATTGATATAGTGCTCAGCGTTAACGACTTAGACTTGTGAAGCTGGCTAGCTGGGATAGATTTGAATCGCATGAGGAAACATGAAACTTAAGTCGACGATTTTCACAATCATTAAACAACTCGATATATATTTCGCATACACACAAATTAATATGCGATCAGTTATAATTGAAATGGAATGAAGGTCAATGATACAGGATAGGCTATTTTGATTCGATTGTCCCCTGAACTGCTAACTAAAGCAAGAAGTCTTGATAAGGCGTAGGAGAATGTATTTTCTACAGGCCCACAAAAAATACGAGGTCGACAAGCATACAAATCAACCTTATTTGTACAATGATAGCCACGCCCTTAAGAAAAAGGCACAAAATAGCATACTAAAATAATTCATCTACAATGATAGTCAGGGATTTTCCGAGTGGGAAATGCAGGCTGAATGTCAACTAAGCGTCTTATGGGCGAAAACATAAAAACTCCAAAATAAGGACCTTTTTCCACGTGAGTTGTGGGGATCTAACATCCCCAACTGTTAGTGGGACATAGATGGAATTAAAGCACGACTACGTTGCTGCGCGCTGATTGGCTAATTTCCTATCCAATCAGCGCCTGATCGAATCTTGGAGAACAGGATAGAAAATTCTCGTATTATTAGCTGCATGCTGATTAGTTAAATCTAATCCAGTCGATCACATGAATTTCTATCCAGAAGCTTCTCATGTAAATGCTAT